CTTCGTGCGGAGTACCTTGAAACACGGTTACACGCTGTCCCTGCCTCGAACAAGATCGATCATTCTATGCAACGTTGGTTGAATATTTTCGAACCAGCGTTGCAAGTCCTAGCTTTGGACTTAAGGATCACTGAGATCTTAATTTCCATTCGGATTTTATTTTCGTGCGTTCGAAGATCGGTCTTGGAAGCGAATTGGAGCGAGATTAGAGGGATTATTATCGTTTGATTCCACTCGACAGATACATACTCGAAAATGGCAGAACAGTGATAAACGGTATTAACGAACGACTTAAAATGAAAAAAGCAGGATTCGAGAGCTTTGAGGGATGCTTGATCCATGAGTGTATCACACCTAATGCAAATGATCTCCCGTTAAACGGGACAAAAGATCGATAAAACCCCCCCCCCCCACTCTTTAGCTATTAAATTTCCACCTGTAGTTTGTGTTTTAAAATTAACTTGCAATTGCAATTTTGATATCTTTTGACTTAAATGATTATTCCATTTATAGGTCTAGTTCGATAGTACGTTAATGGAAGATACAACGAATGAGTATTCGAATTAGAAAATGGCGCTCGACGTATGGACTTGGCGAATGCGATTCAGTCGTGACAAGACGTTTGTTTGCGATTCCTTTCTTCGATAGACGTCTGCCAGACGAGATAACATTTCGCAGAATACACGAACGCCTCTCAGACGCGGGTTTGTTTAAAAAAAAAACGAGTGTCAGACGATGGTAGACCCGATCGGTATCAGAACTGTTAATCTCGAAGACAATGATGGCGTCGGTGCTGGAAGAATAGCAATGGAGGATGTTCATCTCGAGGGACAGCGTAGAAAGTTTTAAGAGATCCTGCATTTTATAAACTATACCCATACTTCATTTAACAAATAGAAATAATTACAAAAGAATTCGTACAATTTTCCTTCGAGACTCTAAAACTAACTATTTCACTGTTTATTCGCTTCCAAAGACGATCAAAATCTGAAAACATATAAGCTCCATTTAGACTGACCATTTTGTCCAACTTTGTACGAATTCTTTTTTCAAATTCAAATCGAATCGAACGAGGTATCGAGATATTTTCAACAGACTTTCGATTTAACGGTTCGCGAAGCGTTCTAGCGACTGTTTATTACGCGAGTCACGCGTATTAGCGCGTATTTCATAATTGGCGATATTTTTCTGCCGCGCAAAACCGCGTTGAATGTCCCCGTGAATTTTTTTTTTCACTCGAACAAAAACAATAACATCGTAATGTCCCGCGAAAATTGCTCGAAAAATTTACACAGTTTGCACGGACGTTGGGTTTCGCGGATCGTGAGACTAGAATTCGTCCTTAACGCAGAGCTTTCAAATATTTTCACGCGTTAGAGTATGGTTGGCGAGTTGCAGAACAATAACGGTCGTACTTCGGTTATATAAAGGACTAGTAATAATTTAATTCGTGTGTTGTTGATTAACAGATCTCAATAGCATCGATGCGTCATTGGGAAACGTTAATCATCGGCGTTCAGCGTGAATTAAATTATAACGTGCGTGAAATATCGATGTAACGTTTCTCGCTGTTCATTCCCGATATAATTTGTAGACGAGCGTCGAACAGCTTCTCGGAAGACGATAATTTATTCCGTTCCTAGGTTCTTCGAGGCCTTATTTATTCCGTTTATATAATTCCTTCGTGACATTCCTGTCATCGGCGTTGTCGCTGATAAATGACAATAATCAATTCCCGGTAGGAGGATTCATCCGTCTGTTTACAAAAGAAATATCACCCGTGCGAGGAATAATATAAAAACAGCGCGAGACATCCTCGCACGGATTTGAATTTTAGCGTATCGAAAAGGTGCCAAAAATAACTGAATTTTTATTGGTATTCTTCTAGTTAGTGTATGATTGTTATTCGTGCACAGAATTCCCCTCTGGCTGCCTCGAGCAACTGGTTGGTAGGATCAGTGGATAGAGACATTCTTGATCAGACACGCGGAGTTGTACTTTGCATCTTCAGTGATGTGGCAGTACAATCTGTCTGACACGCTAGTCGAAGAACAGTTTAGAAGAGTTGGTCGTCGATGTCGATCTTAGGACACTCAGAAATTAAAGAATACGCTTCTCTTCGACAGAAAAATGTTTAACTATCTTAAAACTTTATAGAATAGTAAATAAGTTTCGAATCTTAGTCGTCCACAGTATTTGTAAATATTTAATTTATTTTTTCTTTAAATATTAGTCAAGTTGAACTGTATCAACCAACTTAAAAAATTCTTAAAAAATTATGGTATTTACAGATACTGAAAGTCGAGTCGCGTAAACAAATTAGCAATTGTTAGCGAGGCGGCGGGATTTTGGTATTCATTTTTTGTACACGCATTCGACGTCCTCGAACGTAACGTTTAACGGCGCTAATTAACGAAAACGCGGGAAAAATTCTATACGATGTTTTATTATTTTTAAGGTTTCGCGCGAAACGATGACTCTGTTACTTTTGCATAGACGCGAAAAAAATTTAATTGAGGTTCGCGAACGTGTGATTTTTTTTCTGTTAACACTTCTTTACGGACGAATCTTTGTAAATTTATTTTTTTCAAACGACGCAACGAGCGAAGCTATTTGAGATCCGCGACCCGGGGTCCCGGACAGCCGAGACAGATTGAGACTTCCGGTTCGCGGGCCGCGTAACGCGATCCTCAAAGAAGCTGCTGCGCCGGCGAATATTTGGAATGCTTTTCTCGACGTAACACGGTTGACTCTACCGAGGTGTCAACTGTTGTCGCAATAAATTATTTTACGACGCCTTGAACTAGGAACACGTTTCAATATGCTTATCGAGCGCCATAAATCTATAGAAATTAAACAATGTTTTATCTTTTTATTACCGCATCCGTTGGTAAAATAGCTGAAACGATTAAGATAAAGCTTGTAACATATTTATAGAATGCGTCCGGATCAAAATAATTTTTAAACGGTGTTAGAAAAAAAAATTGATTCTTGGTAGTTAGCTCATAGATTAAGCCGCAACTTCCGATATCGATTCGAGCAGAAGTATCGAACAGGGAAATATTAATCTTGGCAACCTCGTTTTTATCGTTAAGTTTTATCCGTTAAATTCACCGGATTAAATACATATAATCGATGATTGGACGAAAAATGCGGGGAACGCTGTTGCTTCTCGGTAATAATAATGTAATAAGCCTAGAATTTTTTTTCCCCTGTTACTGATACCGATCGATAATTTCTAGTTGGTAAATAATAGATCGTTCCTCCGAATGCCATAAAACAGCATGCGTCGGAGGAATGTCAGCCCCGGGTAGCCTCGGCACGTGCTTCGAGGTGATCCCCCTCCGGTTGTCGTCATCGTTTTTTTATCGTATCGACGATTTTCACGAGATAACCACCGTTCGAAGACTCGATAGCGCGGCTTTTACGACACGCGTCGATCGATCGTCGTAAACGGAAAATCCCATTTGGTACGGCGATCGAGGGAGCCGACGACGGCCAGCTGCGGAGATGGAAATATTTGCGCGTATGAGATCATTGAGTGGCTAGATCTTTCGTAACACTTTCGCGGTTCGATTGTGCCGAGCGTATCCGGTCGATGGCGCAACGAAGTTTACTCGCAGCCGCTAAAAATCGAAATTGCCCGCCAATGTCGTCCGATCGATCGCCGCTGCGCTCTCTGTTACGCGTCTCCAAACGCACCAAACATGCATTTTCTCAATCAGAGACGGTGAAACTTTTCGTCTGGATAGAAATGTGCTAAAAATTGAAGTTAATAACGCGTGTTTGGTTTGTTTAGTAATGCAACGTTGATCCTTTAATCTCCGTTGACACTCGACGTTTTTGCAACGCTTTGCGTAAAATTAGTTCTCTCGCGCTGTGAAGCCTCGGGGTGGAGCGCTTAAAAGCTAAAAATAGGAGATTCGCGTAACAGGGAAACATGGAACATTATCCTCCTCGGTATCAAATTAATGATAGCGTAAGAAGTTGTTCAGCGATAGTTTAAACATTTACGTCTTACCTTCTATGTATAGCATACCCTCGAAAAAAATTCGCAGAAAACGATCCATTGTCGCGTTTTGTAAACACCGAATAAAGCGTGTTATCAGTAGATTGGAGATTTTATGCATTTACGAGGCATGCAAATATGAAGAAGTTAGATAAATGTATGCGGAATACACATTATATAAAAGGACAATAGAATGTATCGCGCAACTTGTAAAATTGTAAAATATTTTGTTCTACGTTCAGTTATTTCGATAATTTCGAAAAGTTAAAAGAATTCGATTTCGATGGACGAATTAGCGGGAAATCGATACGCCGAACACGATTAGCCGCAGATTTATGCGCTTATTGTAGAAATATCCCTTGGTCACGTATGTATACACGTTCCAAGCACGTTCCAATCGCGAAAGAATCGTTTGCTCGCTCATAATCGCCGGTATGCACGGGCGCTCGCAGTCAAACGTTTCAACTACCATTCATCTTTGACCGTGAATCGCGGCTGACAAAGAATTTCCCGATCAACGCCGTCACGGTGGATCGTATTTACGTCGCACATCTAACACCCGACGCCTCGTTAGCTGATTTTTATCAGCGACAATATACGCAATCGGTCGTACGTCGATGAAAATTAATCTTTGATGGCAATTTAACGCGTTTGCATTAATGAGGCAATTGAACCAGTGGAATCGATTAGTCGATAGAATAGGAAAACGAGATATACTGTCTTTTAGTGTCAAATTGCATACTAATTGATGAGTGTTTTTATCGGGATACGAGTATGATAAATGACTATATTATAGCTGCAAGAGATCGTTTAATCGGGTTCTCGACTTTTGGCAGCTCTGGAACGTTTGCAAAAATATTTAAATTATCTTATTACCAAAAACAAATATATTTATTTCCATTTTACTTGTAAGAAAGTGAGAACATTCAGCAAGGAATTTTAATCTCAAGACTTTCAATGAATCAATTGCTAATAGAGAGTTTCTTTTCAGGTTGTTCTGGACGCCAATAAGTGGACCGAGTCGACGAAAAGTAATCAAAATGGGTACGATATCGCGATACGAATTTTTAAGTCATACCTAAAAGTACGCCTCTTTTGATAATCGCCATGGATTGTATTTTAGTTACGAGTCAGGACGCCACAAAGGCAACGTCTATGTCCTGGAGCTGGAGGATAAGAAGAAGAGCGTGCAAGAGTACGAGGAGGACTATAATCCTTATGATCACAGAGTGGTCGAACATCCAACGACGTGAGTTTCAATTAACATCCACCGTCATTCTATTCCCCTCGTCTAGTTAGATTGATTTGTTTATTTTCCACGTGGTGTAATCTTCGTTGGTTTGTAGGAGAAATTTTCACGCTGATACACCGAGAAACATCGAGAGGAGATTCTCCAACAAAAGAAATAATCAACTTTTCATTAAATCTTGCAACGCATAAAAAATGTTCAAGCTCTTCTTTGTATCACGAATAGACTTCGGAAGTTTTCAAAGGTTTCTAACTTCTGGAGAAAGTGAACAGAAGTGCGATCGAGGCTCGAAATTCGCGGCGCTGATATATCCTTTCTGATCCGTTCAATTTCTTCGCGACTTCCCGTCGCGGATCCAGGGATGGAAAGGAAAAAAAAATTAATGTAAATCGATACGTTCGTTCGCCTAACGCAATCGCGAGCATTTGCATAATGACGTACGCCGCACGAATGCGAAACGGCGTATCGTTTATTCCGACCGCGTTTCTCTAGACACAAATTACACGGTAATTTGTTGGGGCGATTAGTCATGAAGCGGAAGAGTAAGATTGTCCTCCGAGAAACCGCTCGTTGCCGTCGGTTCCAGAAACGGCGAGACTCGCCGTTATCGTCGCGGAAGGGAAATAAAAAAAAGGTCATGTTACACTGTCCCGGCCTAATTAAGTCGCGAAAATAATCGAACACCTGGAACTTTATCCGTTCGAACAAATTAACAATTTTTACTATCAAGCTTCATTATAATTGGAGCATGGATGACGATGATTTCAGGAGCGCCGAGACGTTGCTCCATTTGTTGAAAGGCAGTTTGGGTACCGGGATCCTCGCGATGCCGAGGGCCTTTCACAATTCGGGCTACGCAGTTGGCATAGTGGCGACGATCATCATAGGTCTGCTTTGCACATACTGCATACGAATTCTCGTCAACTCGCAGTACGAACTGAGCAAACGGAAAAGGGTGGCGTCGCTGACCTATCCCGCGACAGCGGAAGCTGCTCTGACGGTGGGCCCAGCGCCATTCAGGCGTTTCGCGAAAGCATCCGTGTAAGTTACTCGATATTAAAAATTAATTCAAGGACCCCTGTGTCACTATAGTACAGCACTCTGGTAATTTAAAAAACTGTGAACGCATTGGTTCGTTTCCAGGCACGCGATAAACCTATTCTTGATGATATATCAGCTGGGGAGTTGCTGCGTGTACACCGTGTTCATCGCCACGAATTTGCAAATGGTCAGTACACCAAATTATTTAACGAACCTTACCTCGCATCCGTTCTGATGGAATTCATGGGAGACGCGGTCGTTTTTAAATATCTTTCTCGATAATGATACTTTCTTTGCCCGTAGGTCGAAGAATAAAAATTGTGTATCCATTCAGATTCGTTCTCGTAATCACGCGAATATTTCACGGCGTACGATGGTCGGATCTCGTCGCAAGAGCAACCTCGCTGCTCTTGTTATCCGTGTTAATCCGGTTTTTACCGCGAAAGAGACCCACTCGAACGCACGCCGCGGCTCTAGACCGTGTGGGCAGAGGAAAAGAAGCATGTAGGTCAGGGAAACACGACGCGAGGAATAAACGATTAGACGGCGCAACGAACGCGCCAACGATGCCAAGTCAAGGTGATGATACGCGTACACGGCCAGGTTCGTTGACATTTCGCGAGGGTGGGACGCGACCGTCCATTAGAGACTCATTTACGAGGACGACAGCCGTTTTCGGTCGTCACGATCAGGAAACATCGACTCCTCCGTCGAATGGTAAAACGGGGCCCTGAACGATCGCGGAAACGATTTCCAGCCAACTTCCTCGAGACTCGGTTTCAGTTTTAATGCAGCCTTTTTGCGCGGAGTTTCTTCCACTCCGAGATAATGATAACCCCTTCGTGCTCGACGGTAACTCGCGTTTCCAGGATATTTTAGAGTTAATAACTTTGCGATTTTATCAGTTTCAAAGTGGTAAAGAAAGTCCCCGTAAGCGGAATTTATTTAACAATTAATCAGCCGACCATCTTCTACCGACTACGTTTCCCCATTAGCTAATGTAACGTTACGTGAGAAATTACGTCGCGTGGACTTCCGCGAGGACTTTGGTTCCAATCTTCGTGTTAGTAAAAATTCGTTTTACTTTGATCAACCGCGTTCTTGAGAATCAGTAGTCGGTAGGAGGAAATGCGAACGTCCGCCGATGATGGGATGATTCACGGACGCAATTTTGTTGCTTCGAATCCTCAAGGTACGTCGGAATAATAATTCCACGCGAGGCGCGCGGGTACTTCCCCGTCCACTTGGGGATTCAATGCAACGCTCGACGATCGCTGTAAAAGATCCGCCGACACGAATATCGGAAGGACTCGGTTCGACTCGTCATAAATCTCGAGGAAAAGGTCGTTTCCAGTCGCTGGTCTCGGTTCCGTTTCGCTTCGATGCACCTCCACGACGAACAACGACTAGATTGCATCGTATATGACGAACGAAAGATCCACAACCTCGTATCTAATTTGTCTTACTCGCTACAAAGGCAATTCCAATGACTTTTGACCATTCTAAAAACGACTAGTCGATCGGTCTTCGCCAGTCTCTTCTAACACACGAGTTTTCGTTTCACGATAGAAGCAGTCGATAATCGACCAAGCGGGAAAACAAGGATTATAGAGACGCTGTTGAATTTCACTCGATTAATTACCGCCGTTAGCTCCTCGTTTACGTCGTCGCCGCGCGTAATCGGTTGCGTAATTGATGGGACGCGGGAAGATTGGTTGATCGTGTTCGTGGAAAATTCTTTGGCGTTCGCGGGCCCGACCAGTTTGGAAACTGGACGAAGAGGACCGTGTCGGTGTTGGTTCAGCCAAGGCACTGGAACGCGTTGCGTACTACGCAATGTAATGGATAGTTAGCGGCATAGTTACGACACGTGTTATTACGGCAAGTGGATGGAGAATGTGGATGCAACGGGCACCGTTCGCGAAAACCTGAATTCCCACCGTTGGATCGACAAGAGCGTCTCGTAGAACGCATTCATCCTGCCCGAGCGTGACTTTTACGAGAAGAGAACCGTGACCCATAGCTCCAACAATGTTGCTTGATTTATAGCCGCGCTCGCGAAGACGTACGTGAACACTTGTTGAGCATGTTTTTACTGTACATAACGGGGGAAAGCATCGACGCGCGCGTGTGCGTTCACTTTCGTTATCGTTTTTCTTTTGTCGGGAATTTTATGCAATTTATAATTATTATCGCTACGCTAGTCGATCGCCTAAACATCAGAATTTTGGACAACCATTTGATACGTTAGACGATAGGATAGCTATCCTACTATTCTGTTTAGTTTATTTGAACAATTAAATGTCTCAGATATTATACGGTACAACCGGCGACCGGAGAACCGTGACAACGTGGAGTTACGCGAAATAGTAAAGCAAAGATGTAATAATATCTGATAATACGCTAGCGGTAATATTCAGACACTTTGTGGTAATGATGCAATGCGTTCAATTTATCGGATTACACGGCTTCCAGTTTCCCAGGCGATTAAATGACAATCGTGTTCGCCTTCGCGTAATTTCTGGTACCGTAACGAATCGCAGGGATGATTTCTCGGTCGAAAGGGTGGCGCGCGTGGACTCGTTTACGGTAATATTTCGATCCGTCGTTGCGTAACGCGAATCGAACGATTAGAATCGGGTTCGATCTGGTTATGACAGGAAATCGGTCGTAGTTTTTTGCGCGGATGGAAAAAGTTCAACAATTTTTCAACGAGGCACGGTCGTTCGTGTTCGAACCGTCGCCGGGACCGGTTTCGCGTCGGTTTGTTCCGCGATGCAATCGATATTATTGTAAATCCTGAGAGATCGAACGCGTATGCAAGTTACATTGTCATCGCGTCGGTTCGTTCCGACGATTCCAGGCACGATCGCCCTTCAGTGATCCCGATCGAGGCGTTCTGTCCTCTTAAGCGTGCATCCTGCGTCGAAACGGATGATTAGAACAGAAGGAGCGAACGATCGCGGTCGCGGAGACGTAATAAAAAAGGAGATATACTGAAAATGGGACGGCTGAAGGCGTTCTAGACAGCTGGAGCGGCATTTCGATGCGCTGGTTTCTTCTTCTGGCTGTCTTCGACGATGACGAACGTCTTTGCTATCGACAGCCCGACGGGGAACGCGCTAAAACGCTGTTCGCGACAGTTAACGGTTTATTATTCTCGTCGGCGCGATTATGAAAATCGATCCGCGGCACAGTTGCGAGCAACAGACACTTTTATGTTCGAAATAATGAATCACGCGGGAGCAAACGCTTGTAGGAAGGAATCAATCATACGTGGTTGCGCGAAATACGAAATCAATTACAATTATAAAAGAATGCCGTTGCATAACTAGTATACTTTTTAGTGTTAATTTGCGTATACTTACGTACTACTACGTTCGACGTGTTACTACGTCTGACGTATTATTACGTTCGACGTATTATCTCGTCTGACGTATTATCTCGTCTGACGTATTATTACGTCGAGGCCTGTTACTGCTTTCGACGCATTACTACGTCCATTTACAAAACTTATGCATTCCCGAGCGCAATGTTGGACGTGTCAGTACGTCGAGCGTAGTATATCGTCGAACGCGTTGCTCCATTGACCGTAGCAGGACGTTGTACGGTTTATTACGTCGATGGTATTGCTATATCGCGCGTACGTAGCGCGCGAAGCGTGACAAAAGGCGGCACGTAGTAGTACGTCAAATCGGGAACGTACTGTTACGTAAAAGCGTGTAACGTTCTGCAAGATGCGTTCGCATTTAATCACCATAATCTAAATAGAATTGCACCGTACGAAACGGCATTACGTGATCCGCGTTTTATACTCGATTAACGAAACCGTGGAATTACTCGGTCGTTTGTGCGCGAGCCAGAGCCGATCGAGGCGCGCGTTTCGAACCACGCTCTCAATACGGGGCCGTTAGGTAGTTTTCCGTACACACGCCCTTCGCCGCGAGGAAAGCGAATTGTGTTCTAGTTTACGACGACCCGTACGATACACGTATCGAGTGCTGGGGATTCGTAACAGAATCGCGGTTGCAAACGACGGCGTATCGAATCGGTACGATACACGAAGAAGGCAGACCTGGCCTAGATAGCTACGAGGCTGCGTGCAAAATTTTAGCGCCAACCGGCGGAACGTTCGCGTGTCAAACGCGATTAAAAAAAAATAATGTATTATCGGGTCGTTTCCTGTATCGAAATTTCGATCTCGAGATTGCATTGGAACGCACCGCTTATCGCACTTTCGAACATTTTTTTACGAACGTTTGAGAACACACCGAGTTGCGCAATCGATAATTTCTTTTATTTTGCTCGACGAGGTTCAAGTTAATTGCCAGAAATGTATACTTAATTGGACGCGGGGCGATAGATACGATAGAATAACGTGTCCGATAGGACGAGCGTTGTGTTTCAATCGTGGTGCTATCAGATCTTAGATCGAGATAATTAATCGCAAAAATACACTCGAAGAAGATGGTTTATAGCAATATTTTGGCAACATTTTCCATTCGATCGTTTTACGTAACACTGTCTGCGCTCTTTCCTCCGCGGAATGGAGAATCGATTTCGTGCGAATTCGAATTAACGGTTGCGCCTAGAATTTAAGAAACACGAAATAAAACGCGCCTACGTGCGCGCGTTACGCGCGCAATTACGCGACGCTTACGTAAAGACGCTTACGAGATCGTAAATGGGTACATGTTAAAATGTGTCGCTAATCATTTCCGGCTGTCCTTGAATCGGGAGAATAACGGGAGCCGATATCGATGATCTCGCGAGGCCGATAAAGATCGTTTTACTATTGTTAGCTGGACGACGCGATGACGGCATCAGTTCCTGACCGTAGCGATTTATTGAATTGGACAAAAACTATTCTCGGGTCATTCGAATGATGTTTACGATTTTTTAAAGGGACGCGTCGATCGTCGGGACGAGCGTAAATCTTCGTTCGATAAACGTCGAGCGCTCGATAACGCGAGATTTACGGTGCCGCGAGTCGATAGGAAGTAGAAAGCTGATTGTCGCCGTTCTGTCTCGGGATCTTGACCGATGAAAGTTGGAGACTTGAGAGAATTCTAGAGAGAAAACTCGTTCGATCGTTTCCTTGTCCCTCTGAGTCGGAATGACGCAAGTACAGTTGCAAGCGTTGACTCATTTTCGTAGTTAAAATTGCTCGACGAATCGGCGTATTGTCGCGAGAAACAAGAAACGGTACCGGATTTAGGGGAATGTGGTAATTCGAGCAAGTAGAATGCGAATCGACGCGAAGTGATTTCGTCCTACGAAGGCTGAACGTTTAATACCGCCTAGCATGGAAAGTCTCTTTTCTACAGTAAAAACTACGTATCCTAAATCAGACCTTCCTTTGTGGATCAATTTTTTAATAATAAATGTATCAAATAACGTTTTGTTTGCAGGCGATGGACTCGCATCCCCCGAAAATCGACCTGAGGCTGTACATGTTGGCGATCCTGTTGCCCCTGATCCTCGTGAATTGGATCAGGAACCTGAAATTCTTGGCCCCGTGCTCGACGATCGCGAACGGCATCACGTTCGCCAGTTTCGGTATAATATTATATTATATCTTCAGGGATCCGTTGTCCTTCGAGGATCGTCAGCCTATCGGGCACGTCCAGGATTTCCCGCTTTACTTCGGCACCGTGCTTTTCGCTCTCGAGGCTATAGGCGTGGTGAGTAGTCATTCGTGCCTCGATAAACTACTTTCAAACTTCCACGTTGTTCCAAACTGGAGCGTCGATTTCCTTTACAATGGGAAGCTTGAAAAGTATCGCAAATATCTGCTGTTTGCGGATTGTCACTGTGGGTTCCAAACTTTTTTGGAAGGCTTCCCAGTCTAGGAAAAAATAGAATCAAAATCCCTCTGTACGAGATAAACGTTAGAATTCTCTTAAACGCTAAAAATACTCTTCGTTCGAAGCGTTATGCTGCTGCGTTACGTCATTAAGAAACTCAGGAATATTTATTTAAATTTCTAGATCATGCCGCTGGAGAACGAGATGAAGAGACCGAAGAATTTCATAAAATCCTTTGGAGTGCTCAACATAGGAATGGGCACCATCGTCGTTCTCTACACGGCCATAGGATTTTTCGGTTACATACGTTACGGTAGCGCGATTCAGGGCAGCATCACGTTCAGTCTGAACGATCCGATGCCCCTGGCGAAGAGCGTGCAGATCCTCTTAGCCGTGGCCATCTTCTTCACCCATCCGATTCAATGCTACGTGGCCATCGACATCGTCTGGAACGAGTACGTGGCTCCGATGATGGAGAAAAATTCGCACAAACTCTTATGGGAGTACGTCGTCAGGACCGTCCTTGTCCTTATAACGTGTAAGTGAACGCCCTGAGTCCTTCAATGAGCGCGGCGACGCCATTCGCGAAACGTTGGATGCTGATTACCTTGTAAGCCCTGCCATTCTGACGTCAATCGATGTTATTGCGGTGGAATTTCATTGAGATCAAACCTCTTGATCGTATTCAATTAGCTTTTCTTCTTTGTATTAATACGCGAAGCCGAACCCGTCGGTCTTTATAAATAGCGGCACAAGTTTTTTGTATAACTGGAGTCAAGGTCGGTCAGCATGCGCAATTGGAAACGTTGTTTCTTTAAATAAACGGAACGTTTCCGTTCTATCTTCGTGCATTTCGTAACCGTATAATAATAACGTATATGTCGAATGCGTCTAGTCTGATCCTAATTCTTCTTTTTTTCAGTTTTACTGGCCATAGCGATCCCCGAGCTGGAGCTCTTCATTTCCCTGTTCGGTGCCTTGTGTCTGTCCGGTTTGGGGCTGGCTTTCCCCGCGATCATACAAACCTGCACGTTCTGGAGCGTGTACACGCGCTCGGAACGAATGTGGATGGTGGCTAAGAACATGTCGCTGGTACTGTTCGGGCTGCTGGGTCTGGTCATAGGAACGTACACGAGTCTCCGTGACATAATAGCGAGCTTCTCGTGAAGCGCTTGCTACGGTGGATAACGAGGAGACCATGAACAAGGGAGGGGGTGGAAGCAAGTATAGGGGGAGGCGTTGTTCTCCGGAGGGGAAGGACGCGGTAATGTGATACGTAGCGAGGTTTCGTCGCCAAAAGAGTACCTAAGGATTGGGTCTGTTTTACTTCAGACCCGTGGATCTTACTTCCGTCGGAGACGTATTTCATAAATACGATCCGAGCGCCGCACGATATGGGATCGCGAGCTGCGGTAAAATAACGAAAGCGTAGGAAGAGAGAGAATAAAAATATGAACGACGCGCTAGCGTGTCGCGATCGGTGAACTAAATTTGAAGATGTTATTTCTATGAAATCAAGTTCGCCTGTTGACAAATAATTGTTTTTATTCATTTGTTGTAGCCGTGATTCGATGCCAAATCACGGATTAAGTGAATGTAGCAACGGATGAGATTGATGCGAGCGTGATTTGGATACGTAGATCGGTTTAAGTTACGCGAACGAATCGCCGAGCAACGGATGTTCGCCTGATCATTGGAAACGGTCGTCCAACGGTATCATCGTGCAACTATGATTCTTTGCCCGCGGGCAAAGAATAAAATACTCGCAATCATCTCGACCTAAGATAATTAGTACCATTCACCATTACATTTATTTTAATAAAACGATCTGTTCAGTGTTTTATATAGACACGTAGTACGTGACTATAAGTATCCCGTATCCTGGAATCACTAAATATCCTGATGTTCCTTGCGAGAGTAGAGAACCCTCCAACTTTCCAGCTTCGATGAAGACGATTTAAGATTAATCGACGGCTGATCTATGATCCAAGATGTGAGTATGAGTATATTAAACAGACGATAGTAGTTCTGGCTGCTCCACACCAAGGAGTAAAGACCGAATCCTAACTCCAAGTACTATTGTATCCATAGAAATCGCTCTTAGGATAATGGTCCCATTTCGTTCCTGAGAAATGTCTCCAAAGTTTTATTATAAGTACAAGCAATGTTAGGCACAAACACCATGATCACTACTAGGTACATGTTAAGACCAACAGTCTACGTTCAGCATTGTCCGTGTTTACAATAAAACTTCCGAATTTCTCAAGAACAAATGGCCATTCTGTGTGCACCAGAAACTCCAGCCTCCTTGTGACTAACGTTCCAATCCTCATCCAGGTATCAGAACCCGGACAAAGCGGTCTCTGAGACTCCAGTTTCCAGTTTCGTTTATCCCGTGGGCGACAAGAGGTCAAAGTTCGCGGTTTTCGCGCGGGCGCCATGAGATGTCGCCGGTTCTAGGTACGAACTTATGGATCGCTGTCCGGGGGTGACCGCCCCCGCATACCTCGAGGCTACCTCGGCGCACCCTCTCCGCCAGTGCGGGCAGTCTCGAGCGCGTTGCACGCAGGTTTAGTCGCACGTGTGCACGCGACCTCATGTCGGTCGGAGCTACAGCCGTGTGTGTGCGCCACGCACACGCGTACCCGTGTCGTTTGGCGGTTTAACACAGACCCTGCGAGGTTGTCCCGTCGCGTCCGTCCTCTGCATACACCAGCAAACGTAAGTTCCGATCCGACAGCAGTACCAACGACCCCGAGGACCTGGCGAGACCTAGCCAGAGTAGCTGGAAAGGTGGAGCTCCCGACGAGAGGGTCGTTGAACGATGGATAACGCTCGTAGACAGAATGCTACCCTTTTAGCAATTTGGGAATTATTATGGATAACAACGATTCCCCGGTTGTTCCATGGTTTGGGATTTTAGCTAAGATGATAGTAAGCGAGTCGATAGGCCGGGCAGACTAGAGTCCTTTGTTTTCTTTAGCTGTTCCTCTGTTGATACCGTGAGTTTGATTATGTAACGTGGAGAGCTATCGAGCGTGGTCTCGATTGCGGAGAAGTGGTTCTGTTTGATCTGGTTTGAAGTGTCGCCGAAGGATACTTCGTTTCGTTAGATTGTACTTCACCTGCGAACCGGGGTAATTTATGGATGTACGAGTACGACGTAAATGTTTAGGAAAACAGGCATTTTAATATAGAATTTTTAAACTATTGTTCGAAGGATTGGTGCAGGGGTTATTTGAGTCCTCAGTCAACATCGTTCTGATGCGTATGTGGGTCAGTGGGCAATCAGTTAATTTCTCTCCCATCAGGAATAATTAGGACTAGCCTTTATTTCTACTCTATTATTCTATGATTATTCCTAGTTTGATAAATAAAAATATACTAGAATTAGCTTTCTTAGAATTCCAAATTTAAAAAAAATTATTATATTTATCGAATTTTTGATATTTAATTCGTCGCACGGAAGAGCAATGTATCGAAAGAAAAAACAATCGCCTAGGTCCAGGAGTCGCTTTCCAGTCGAAATAGGAATTTGAAAAAAGCTCGTAGGATTTTCGTCGGAATCGAGTTGCACGAAAACGTTCCCCCGAAGTATGATTACTATTCTCTGGAATATTGTACCCGCCCTGAGCGACTGTATTACCCGTTCCCACGTCACGATCGATATATTCCCTTTTAAACGTGGTTGCTGATCCGTGTGCTAGGGTGTGCTCGATTTCTTCCGTGTATATTCGCGCGAATAACACAGAGATGACGATCCCTTACGTATCACTACCACGGTAATCATTCATAAACTGATCGTTTCGTACAGATAGCCGACTGAATCGAGCGTGCATCGTTTTCGTTCATCGTGTTTGCCGATTAAATTACCGTCACCTGTCATGCGTCTGTTCTACGAGTGTAATTTGTTCGAACGAGCCACGAACGTGATCAGTAGATTCTAAAATCTTGTAAAATATGCTCATCGATCTGAACGATACGAAAGGGAGATAGTAAATGCAAACATTTGGATGAAATTGAAATATCAGAGTAGTTTAGAGCAATATGTAATATTCATTAACGTTGCAACAACTAGAGATGTAAAACAATATCGTAAGGGGGGCTGATATACGTCAGAAAGAAGCTGGTGTTCCGAAAATTGTTTTGGCAATCGTCCGCGATTTCGAACGTTTATTATCCTCGAAGGACCTTCTCAACTTTCCATTTGATCTTTTCATGGTTGCAATTCCCTTTGTGGGTCAATCGATATGCACCCATCTAAATTTGACTTTAATATGTATTTATACGATCCTCATCGCCAAATCGGTGCACTCCTTCCTTTATGGTCGTCCTTGAAAATATTCCTCTGACTCGGTCCTCCATCGAACCTGGGAATTAAAAAAGGATTAAATCAATAAACGAATCTAAGGTTCTCTTCTTTGAACCCCGTTTCTGAAGAACCTTGCAAATTCTTCAAAAGAAACCCATCAATATTGTTCTCCAACAAACTTAAACGATCTTTAAAATTGACTAGATCAGATCAGAAGTCTTACCACTTGTTAAAGGGTTGCAACCCCCCCTCGATCGTCTACAAAATTTTCTCCCGCGCTTCCTTCTGCCTAGGACTCGTTTTCACCATTTTAAAAAACACTCTCGATCATTTCCAATCTGCTCGAACCACCCTCGATCGACGAACGACGCACGTGGCGGTTCGGTTGACAGCTGCAGACGAACTGCTGTCAACGTAGCCTCGCGATGCGTCTCTAAATCACGATGCATCTGTCCCCCCGGTGGTTGCGCCGTAGGCGTAGTTTCTAACTTGATTGTCACGTGACGAGGAGACCGCGTATGCCTGTTGGAAATTGAAATGTTCCGCGGTTTAAGCGCTGCCCAGTCGCTAGACATTCTCTGTCGCGGGCGCATTAGCGTTAGGAAGTTCCCTCTTAAAGATCGTGTTACGTCTGCCGGGCGAATTTCGGTTTCCCTCGCTGCGGATGTGTTTAATCTGGTAAGTCTAGACACCGATTCTCGGACCGCCTCGCTCTTTTCCACCTTCCTCGGGGGCCCCAAACTCGTCTCGTCTCCACCAAACTTCCTTTCTGCCCCCCAACACTCGAACTAGGCAAAATTTCTGAGATTAGTTTCTAAGTTTTATCAGTTAAGGAAATACCTCTGTTTGTAATAACCATTGTAAATTGCATAGAACCGTGGTAGAAACGGTGTTGAAATCGTTGTACCCCGTCGAAGGTTCCTTGGTCGCGTTTAATTTCAATTGTTCAGTGAAGGGTTGGAGACCGGGGAAGAGTCTGGATTGCGGGTGAATCACAGCTTCATTTATGGAACTATAGTTTCGCTTCCTCTGAAGAAACTTTGATTTCGCAGACTCTGAAAATCAGGGTTAGACAGACTTTATTTGAAAGTAACGAGAATTTAATTGAGACAAACGATCCATTGTAATTTTCGTGGAAGACTGGGACGTATACTCGGTATATATTTGTTTTAAAGGAACGCGTCAGACACACGATGTCAATGCTCTTTATCATGAAATAATATCTATATCTATCTCTTAAATACTTTGGATTGTATCATATATGTAAAATAGTTTAGATGGTTTCAATTGTTTCTTCTTCGATAGTTTGTTCGAATAGAGAAGGGTCGAAGACTGGCGAAGAGCAGCAGGTGGTAGGAAGTATAGTCGAAGAGCTTCGCGAAGTACTCGCGACGTTCGCCAGTCTCTGGTAACCGAATCAGGTAGTTTCCACAGTTCTTGATAGAGATTTTAACAGGGCTAATGAATACGTTCTATCTTAACCCAATAAAAATAATTCTGACGAAGTTCAGCGAGAAAGTTGTACTTTGGCGCGCCACACACAGTGAAAACGTTGATAAGTAAAATAAACGCGGTTTAAAAATCACGATTCTTTTTCAATTCATTCATGGCTATTGCGAACGCAGCAGTGACATAATACGCAAGCTGTGGAGCGTCGAGAACATGAAACTATAAGATACGATTATTCAAAGATGGATAACAGGTCGCCGATACGATGTCGCGTCAATTGAAATGGACAAGCGGGTTCAAACCATTGCATAACAGTTCCCTTATAGATAATAGCGCTTTCCTACGTTCGGAACGAAAAATAGGGGTCACGTGATTAATTATAATTTGTATGTAAAAGATGTTCTCCGCGATCACGAGAACTCTTGTTTATATAATGAATCGATATCGATGAATGTTAACTATTTTCTTGTATATTTTTGTATCGATTTGTATTGCAAGATAAACAGAGGTTTCGATGTATATGTAGTTTTAACGTAGAATTTGTGGGTTCCATTTTTGATGATTAGGGGTTGAACCGTATTTGGAATTGAAGGACCATGATTTTCTCGTCAGGTGGCAAAGTTCTTTCGTCGACTAAAAATAGCGTACGCATAAATACCCCGGTGGCATTGTTTCAGGGCTGTGCAATTGCGAGTTGGTTGACGTGCGTCCCCCTAACGCGCTCCGAGGAAGTAAGAATTAGAAGATCGATTACTATACTTAAGCTGCGTCAGTGTTACGGGAGAAGGTGACGTTCGGAGTCGCCAAAGGGTGACGCCCCCAAAAATCCTGTTTTCTTCGCTCGAAACGATACAAATCTATTAAAACTTACGTTATTCAGAAATCGAGGCGCTTAAAGGGTAGTTAGCTATAGATAGATAGTAATTTAAAAGATGATTTTATAGAACAAAACAAGTCGAAAGTCAAGAGTAACGAAATTACTTGCTGTAACAAAAGAAAAACAGATATTTATTTTCCCGTAGGCATCATAGTCGAGTTTCACCCTAAAAACAATTTTCTCCAAATTTTTCTTCGTTTCAATACCCATTTTATAGATAGAAAAGTAAAATGGTTTCGAATGTATCGTTATTCTTGACGCGACACGATCATCCCCTAAATTATTGTCCACCTGTAAACACGCTGCACGATGTAATATTTCGCGTGATAAATGACCGAGGATTTATCCGTAACGTTCGCACAACGGAGCCAAAATACACCGCTCAAAATAATTACGGGAAACGTGTTCTCGGATAATGCGGAGGAATGAAGAGCAGGGATGACAGAAATACTGTGTATTTGGGGCAGTAACGTTTCAGCTGAATATTTAGGCTCATAATATTTAGAACCATAATATCGTTCGGGCAGGTGGTAGTGAAATATTTGCAAATAAAAATAAAATAACGAATGCAAATCTGAATCGACGCAGAAGTGTTTTTTTTTCTAGATTGCTCTTACTAACATTCTTTGTATTTTTCAGGGGAAGAGAGCGGAAAGAAGTCAGCGAACGTACCCGTCAGCGTTTTTTAAAAGAAGAAACGAGTCTGTTTTTTAGCGTAATAGGTGAGAACTAATCGCTTTTTAAATAAATAACCCAACGTGTATCTACGTGTGCAAAATTTACAGGTTTTAACGTTCCAAAGCTTTAAACGTTCAAGAGATCGTTATTCGGATGCGATTCAATCACGAGCGAGCGGACTCTCAATTAAGATTTAGGCGTCGTCCACGAATCAATGACGGGCCAGTGAACCTGTTATCAAATAGTCATTCATCGTGAACATTTGCAAACTAATCTGCTAGTAAACGTTCCCTCGAACGTTATCCGGCTGCGTATTAATAGCGCGCGCAGGCAATGTCAATGACCAAATGAAATTGTTAAGCAGCCCGTTGTGGCCGTGTTACATCGCGTTAAATGGGTCTTTGTACGCGATAATAAGTACCATTGACATAGACGAACGAGCGCCGAATTTAGCGTGTCGTCGAGACGGCGTCGCGCCAACGATTCGATCCGCGATAACCAAAGATTTCGATCACGTCTCTTGGATCCGGAAGCTGGAACCTCGGGCCGCCATCTTTGCGGTCGTTGTATCTATTCTTATTATAATTCGTACCTACCGCCAGCAGTTTCTTATCCAAATGTTTAATACTCCTTAGTATTAACAATACACTTAAATAATAATTATTACTACTGTTCAGCTCGTATCTTCGAAAATGGCTTCCAGCGACGGATTCAGTAGGAATCGTGTTTCTTAAAATTACCATAAAGCCAGTGGTTCGTTCGTATCTCCTCGGATGATCATTATTCAATCAAATCGATGTCGTGCAGCGATTCGAGCTTCGCAGCCTCCATGCCGCGCGATTTCCACGCTAATTAGATAATGATTTCCTCGTTCCTAAATGTTTTCGTGCTCCGTCGTCGGTCGTTGAGAGAGAATGGTGCCGCTCTCGTGAAAAAAACGAAATTATTCAGTCTTCTGTCGCGTAGGATCGTTTCTTCTCAGTCTCGTACGGTAGAATTCCGTATCGACGATTCCCCCGAGCCATAAACCGAGCGCAAGACGTAACGGTGCACGCGCTCGGGAGACCTTTTCGTTCCCCGTCGTTCGGCGGAACAACCGTGGATCAATTGGCAGCGTAGAAACGGCGAAGTGAGAATGCAGACCGTGTAACCTTCAGTAAGTTAACTACATTTGACCTCAATGCAATAATTAAGAGCAATCAGTTCGCGAAAGAATGTGCTAAAGCCACGATGCACACGCAGAGTCGAACGAGAGATTCGCAATGATGAATTGCCGTTTTCGTCCCCGTCGTCGTTGTTGCTCCATATCCGCCAATTGATTAGGACGGCTTAATGCAACGAGAGAGCCTGGCCCCGTGGATCTAGGTCGGTTCTCTGATCCTTAATCGATCAGCCCGTGGAACATTTATCGATCTTCGAACCCCCCTCGAGCAGCGAATTTTCAGACGAGAACGATCGATATTTTTTCTGTTCTCTCTCGTCTCTGTTCCCGGATCGCTGATGGAATTGTTTACCCGCGAGTTCGATCGTTGGACTTTCAAGTCGAATGTATTTTTTTTTTTTTATTAAACGCAACAGCATCTTGAAAGTCCGACGATTGTTCTACGGGATTTTGCAGAGTTGATAGTCGTCGGTAAAGTGAAACTAATTGTCTCATTGACACTAATGAATTATTGACTAGTTCATAAACACTGTTTGCACGTGAATATTGAAGTACATTGAACGTAATTTTTCGAATATCAACGGGCTTTTGTTTCATTGTTCGAAACGCAGAAGTGGCACGGCAGATCGAGTGACGAACAAAATGGAGAACGCCAAGGAGGAGACGATAAACATGCAGCTTATCGGATCCGAGAGTCCGTACAAGTACGTCTCTTTCTACTTAAAATAGTAGTCTTGTATTTTGGAGAGAAGAGTTTGTTGCAAATGGGAAGATCAGTCCTCTGTATACTATATAATTCTTTTTTAAACTTGGTCGATCGCTGGGTTCTAAGATAATAATTTGCAACGCTTTCTTCGTACCACGCGATTAAAGTATTGAAGTATTAAGAGCGGTATTTCAAATATTAAAAACCAAAACCCGACGAGGCAGCTCACATTTGCAAATTGATGCGATTGCAGAGTTAACAATGAAATCGCCGGAAGCGGCCAGAACGCGTCGGAAGTTCCAATATCACCGGCTACAAACGTAGAAGACTATGACCCCCATAAACACCGAAATAGGCCAAATCCAACTTCGTAAGTACGCGAAATTATCGCTCGAGCCCCTTTCCAATCTTTCAGTCAACGTGTAAAATATTATTATTAAAATTGAAATTTACTCGTTTTAGATTTGGAAATAATGTAGTTTGAAAGGAATGCTCCCGAATATTAATTAAATGTTTTGTTCGCAGAAACGCGGAGACCCTGATTCACTTGCTGAAGGGAAGTTTAGGTACAGGGATCTTGGCGATGCCGAACGCATTTTGTAACAGTGGACTTGTGACCGGTGTGATAGCCACAGTGATCATAGGAGTGTTATGCACTTATTGCTTGCACATACTAGTGAAAGCTCAGTATAAACTGTGTAAACGGTTAAGAGTTCCTATATTGAGTTATCCGATGAGCATGAAGTACGCTCTCGAGGAAGGTCCTGTGTGTGTCAAATGGTTCGCACCCTATGCACCGTAAGTACGATACGTACTACACGCACGCACAAACACACATGACACATCCGTTGTCTTTTTCATCTGTTCTTTGTCATTACAGTTATTCGAAACTAGGCTCGAGACGCTCTAACGAGGCTCTCGGAGCACACACACTTTCATTTGCAAAACATTTCCTCAAACAATTCTAACCGAGCAAAACTGGGTGGAACGTTATTTGTTCGAATAATAGTGGATAAAATTGTTCTGCGAATGTGCGTTTGTTTAGAAAAATTAGAGTGGTCCTGACACGAAAATAAGCGATGGTAGTAGTGTCAACAGACATCGAACAGACATCGTCTGATCACGGTCGACTGATTCTACTTGTTACTTCGCTATGCGGACTTCCGTGGAAATTCAAAATTGGGGCTACACGCAAGGGAACAGGAATCCTAAGAAAGCGTATTTTTATATCGAAGCAAACTAATCTACATTCTAACTTGGAAATTTTAGTCTCATTTCCAATTGTTGCCATAGTATAAGAAATAAATAAAAGAATAGAAGGAATACGGTTACTTATCCTGCTGAAGACTTACGAGAAAGTATCAAAATTATTGTTACATATTAATTACAATATAACAATTCCATCCAATAAATTGCTAATCGTATTAAGCTTAAATTCAAGGTGGTCTTCTGATCTAGAACATCAAACATTTTCTTAAAGCATCAGATACCTAATAATCAATACCAAATATAATAAACATTTTCTATAGTATTTAATCGAAATTTGAAAAATCAACATAGTCATAAGTTCCTACACACAAAGTTCTCAACAACTCACGCACACACGCACAATCATTTCACAACAGCGGTCTGAAGGCTCTCGTGCAATTGTAACATGAAAGTTGATATTGTTTGCAGAGGACTCGTAGACGGGTTCATGATAGCGTATCAATTGGGAATATGCTGCGTTTATATCGTATTTGTAGCGTCGAATATAAAGCAGGTAAATAACAGGCGCAAAAAGATCTCTCTGTCTCGCTTCGTCGCCTAAGCGGAACCGCAAATATGGCGAATGTTTTCGAGGACAAAGATACCCTCGAAAAAAAAAGACCAAAAAAAAAAAAAAAAAAAATCATCCAACTGGACCGATCGATCGAACTCATTGATATCGTTCTCTGTTCTGTTGGTGAACGCAGGTGGCGGACCAGTACTGGGAACCATTGGATGTTAAAACCCACATGCTCATTTTATTGCTACCGCTGATTTTGATAAATTACGTTAGGAACCTGAAGTTACTGGCGCCGTTCTCGACCCTGGCGAACGCGATCACGTTCGTCGGTCTTGCCATGATCCTGGTCTATATGTTCGACGATCTACCGTCGCCAAGCGAAAGGGAGATGTTCGGTACATTGAGAAATTTCTCCCTGTATTTTGGAACGACGTTGTTCGCTCTGGAAGCAGTCGGGGTGGTAAGTCTGCGACATTTTATTCGCCTATCAAGAGTACACGGAAATTTTTTAAACAGAAATTGATAAATCCGGGTTGTCAAAAAAAAAACAAATTCAATCTTTCTTTTCACAAAGTTACAGTAGTTCGAAGATCGATTACGATCGACGGAGCGGAATATTTCTGTTCGACGGAGACGCACAATTTAGAACAATATCCACTGCGATCGTTGCACATTGGTTTTTCAATTTTGCTCCCCCCCTACCCACGATCGATCTATCATTTAGCCTCGTCGATCGTTCCCCGTGACTGCTAGCGAAACGAGTATAGTATGCGCTTAGAATAGATCAACGGCGCCGCTGCATCGCTAATAAACAAATAACTGGCCACTTACGAACAAGTTTGAGATTGCCGTGATCAGATTGTCAGTGCGTCAATGCAATCCCTGCTATTATTTCCCAGATGTTCTCAGCCCGACCGACGATCCCAGTGGCTCTCAATAGCAATTGCAATCGAGAAAATTGTTTTTATTTAAAAATTTACCGCATTGTAATCGACTGATTTATTACAGATAATCGCGTTGGAGAACAATATGAAGACTCCGCAGTATTTTGGCGGCTACTGCGGCGTCCTGAACATCGGAATGACCATCATAGTGGCGCTCTACATCCTCATGGGGTTCTTCGGGTACATAAAATACGGGTCAGCGGCTGGCGGTAGCGTGACCTTCAATTTACCCCCTGATCAGGTGTAAGTAGCCCCCCACGAGTTATCGACTCCATCAAATCAGTGTTTTATACAAGGTTGGGCTTGAGCTAAGCTTTCCAGAGAGTCTGTACAATTAAATACTTGTACTTTCCATGAATTTATCTTACAGTATGGCGCAAAGCATCAAGATAATGTTCGCTATCGCCATTTTCATCACCCACGCTCTGCAAGGATACGTCCCTGTCGAGATAATATGGAACACTTACCTGAATCAAAAGATTCAAAGGCGAAAAATCTTCTGGGAGTACGTTTGTCGAACCATCATCACATTGGCGACGTGTAAGTGAAAGTCACTCAACATTCTACTAATCTACTTCAAAGTTCAATGACAACGGCGTCCGACGAGTCGGATTCGAAGCTTTGGAAGGTTATTGTCGAGCTCAGTCGAGGGACAGACGTTTGAAGACAAATATTTTACTTTGATCCACCGTTTTAATAGTGTCAAACGATTTGACCAAGATCCAAAACCCTAAGGTCGGGTCAATGAAAGATTCCAGTTGCAATTGGGTAGTGAGGAGAATTCCAGGAACGTAGACCTCCGACGATTATTTAACTTGGATTGCTTATAGCGAAGCATTAGTAACATTCTATAATTTCATAGTCATTGATCTAACTTTGAACACCTGTTTGATGCAACACGATGCTTGAGAATTGATGTACATATATCGATATTAATAAGTGTGTCATTGGTCCCGTCACTGGCGTTGGATAGTCCCCCAAGTCGATTCTTTCGTTAACCCGACCTTAACTATCTCACGAACATCAGTATCGCTTAAGGGGGACGTCAGTGTAACGATCCTGAAAGCATTTCCATTGATGTCTAGGCGACACGTCGTATTCTAACCCAAGTCAATCGTTACAGAAACGGGGAACACGTTGCTTATATTTATGATTCAATTTAAACGTCAAAGAAGGTTATTACTAGACTGCGGATGTTTATGCATTTATGGGAAATTTTAATTTTCAAAAAACTACAGAATTTAGTTAATATGCAAGTAAGGTACGAATTATTATATCTAGGGGTTGAGACAACCCTCTACGAAGCTCCAATTTCATTAATTTTATTAATAAAAATATGAATTTGCATGAAGATCCGCAGTCTAGTTATTACAATTCGAACCAGTCAGGAATATACATAGAGTGATAATTCTAGAGAATAGAGAAGGTTGTCTAATCGCTGTAACTTTGATCGATGGAAAGCACGTAAATCGAATTATTTGATAGACTATAATCTCCCGCCCTCCTCAAAGGATTTATTTCCGCAGTCACGTTGGCCGTGGTGGTGCCCAGGCTGGGTCTCTTCATCTCCCTGTTCGGGGCTCTGTGTCTCTCAGCACTGGGGATCGCGTTCCCAGCGATCATCGAGATCTGCGTGCTGTGGCCGGACAGGGCGCTGGGTCCTTGCATGATCATGCTGGTGAAGAACATCTTTCTGATCGTGTTCGGTCTGCTCGGTCTGGTGGTCGGCACCTACGTCAGCATCGTCGACATAGTAAACTCCTTCAAGTAATGCCGACGATTGAGGATGGAACAACTCGAGGAAAGCAAAGAGAGAGAGAGAGAGAAAAGAAATTGGGAACACTCGTTCGCGTAGGGGAGGCGCACCCGCAGCTTCTCTCAGTTTAGCTTACAAGAGCGGCGCCTTAGGTAGACAGTGCCTCGTAAAACGCAGTGGCAGAAAGTATTTTAGGGAAACGCGACCAGCCGGAGAGCATTCGGGATAAAACGCTTCGACCCTACTTTCCTCCTCCTACTTCGCGTATCACCGCCATTGTAGCACACCGCGGGACGAGTTTCGTAGATTTTTAAGCGATCGGGCGAGAGGAGTGGTGCCTGTGTTGGGCAGACGCTTCGGGGCAGTGGTTTCCAAACTCGTTGGGATAACATCAGGCTTGAAAATAATGTTCATAGTCCGCGTCTAAAAAGAGAGACTCGACTTTGGGAAACACTGCTTCAGAGGACTTTAGAGTCTCTGGCGAAGGACGGGTGGGTGGCGTAGAATAAGAGAAACGCGTACAATTTGGTCGAGTTTTACTTGTGATCGACCGATAGGAAGGTACTAATTGCAAGGATGAACAGTATTATAAAGAGCCCAGGAGCCAACGACCACGTAGATGAGCGTCCTTGAACACGATGCCCAGATGCATGACTGATCTCTAGCTCAATTTAGCCGCACTATGTCTGCAAAGTATTAGAATAAGAACCAACGTGCACGACTCGAAGTCCGTGGACTTTGGTCCGCTAGATCCTCCATTGAAAGTATCTTAGGTAACTCGTTCGTGAAGTAGGTCTATATTATATAAGCAAATTACCCTGTCGAGGTCACTGGTCAAGGCCATTTTCTAATCTCAGAGATCTCGTTCGAGAGAAGATCGTCGCGAATGTGCGGACACATTTTTATACGCTCTTTCGAAGCAACGAAAAGTTATGGAGTTGGGGGGGAATCCATTCTGGTGACCTTGACAGGTGAATTTATTCTGCCTTGACTAAAATACCGTAGACGACTTAAGTATCTCCGAAAGAACGTTAGATACAACATTTTTAAACCGCTTTCATTCGTAATAGACGTTTGTATAAATTTACATCTTCGTCCTTACGATTAGTACGATATTTTGCGAAATTTTTTAATCGTCGTCGACTCCCATTGACTCGTCCGGTCGCCAGACGTTGATTTCCTGAATTCAAGCAACTCGTTACTCGAAGAGTATTAAATAACCTTGGCACGAAGGCGATAGAAACGAACGCAATCAGACATTTTTAAGCATCGAACACATCCAACTAGTGATTACACAGTGCGTAATATTAATACGAGTGACGGACGATGCCCAGCACTGGACTCGCGGCGGTCTAGAAAAAAGAAACGAGAACGATATGAAAGACAAAATCGTCGATTATATCTCGCGACAAACGAAACCTGTGATCGAAGATTTTATACAGGAACGATACGATGCATTTCTATTGAATTGTTGAACGAGTTACAGATGTATACGGACGTTAATTGTTCTCCAACTTCCGGTAAGATGTTCGAAGTCGTTCAGGGGCGTTTATCGGGCGCATGCATCGAAGATGAAATTCTAAATGTAAAACGTCAACGCTCGCACCATTAAAAAAAAATGATTTATTTACGACGAGAAGGAATCGAACCAGATAAAGATCAATTTATAATGCTATTTATAATGTCGTTGCTTCTGACGAAGAAGATAAAAATCGAACGAATTATGATTTCGTTGCCCCTGAAGAGGAATCGAACGATCGCCAATTGTGTTCTCCAAACATCCAAGCCAAACGAATTGTTGTTTATTGCATTCGCTCGGAGGTAAGAGTTCTCGAGGATCGATGTTTCCTCTTAACGTCCGAATCTCGTCGCGATCGTGCACCACGATGAAAGAGACCGTCGACACGGACGAGGAGTATAGTCTATACGCAGACAAACGTCCAAGCAATACACGTAGATCATTGTTACGCCTTATTTTTTATTCGAGAAGCTTGCACAACGACTCTCGCCGCTGCAAGCGGAGCAAGGTAAACCAAAGAAAGTTCAAACGACACCGTGAATACGAATCATCGCTACTTTGTACCGTCACTGCCTGGAACTTGCTCGGATCATCGCGCAAAAAGATAACACAAGAGACAAAAACGGGAAACGATCGCGATCTAGCGTCGAATTGCATCGCACAAATCATCCTCGCAAATTTTCGTTCGTCGTCGGGACGCTCGCCGATTCGAATACACGAATTTCCTTCGATTTTCGACGGTTCGTCGTGAACAATGTCGCGTCAGTTCGTTAAAATTATAAAAAAATATTTTGCAAACGGCTGCCATTTATGTTTTGTTTGTAATTTCGTTGCTTCCAAAGAAGAGTGTAGCAAAGATTAACAAGATTCTTCTTCGGGAAAACTATTTTTTTAACTAAAAATTTTAGTGTTACTAAAAAGGATAAACAATTTTGAAAACCACGACAGTTGCACGATGTTAATAGATTGTGATTTCGAGAGATTGCAATAGCGACATTGTTCATCTGAACAATTGAAAAGTAAACGATCACGAAAAGAAAATGGCGAAAGAAGGGACGAGTTTATTGTTCGAAAATCGAAGTTCGTACTTACGATGATCGAATGCATTAGGTTATTGGTGATAGTTTCGCGTCCACGGCATCCCTGATTTCCGACTGTATCGATTTATTCAGAAACTAATCGTCGATTTTTGTACGTTTCTAAACGGTTTTTTCTTAAGAGATCCGCATTTTGTGTGTATGTTTTAAATCCGAATTCCTTGTTTTTTGTCATTATATGTCTGATATAATAAACTCTCTATTCTTACCTGCGCCGTCTGATCAATCTCGGGCGTTTCTCCTTCGGCCAGGATGACCCTAATTCCGGCGAGAACTCTTTCAACCATTTATTCCACAAGTTTCTTCTTATTTTCCAAAAAGAACACTACGTCCTTGCTGTTTATAAATCCCATCAATTAATTAGCCCTCGAAACTAAACTAATTGATGGTGGAATTTGCAGGGTTTTAATAAACGCTACTCGAATGTCTTCCAAACGAAAAGATGGCGGTAGGGTGTAAAGCAATAATTCTACGGTGGATTCTTTTTTATATAATGTATTGTAATTTTCGCTAATTCGTACGATTCCTAGTAAATGCTTCGTCAGACTTAGCTGGGCTATTATTTCTCTGTAAATCGGATTGCAACGCTACGGTGTGCGATTCGACGTCGACCCTTTCCGAAGCAAATTTAATCTCGATCCAACGATGTTCTCGTAAATATTTTTTAAAGCGATCACTCGACACGAGGATTAAAATTTTCCATTAACCTAGATTCAATTTACATTTTCGATTTTATCAATCTTAATTTCATTTTTCGATTCGGGGAGGGTCAACGAAGTTGCGTTTAAACATTGCAAAAACTTCGATTCCGTGGATCGATCGAATCGATCCGCTGTCAACAACAATCTTTCGGGACAGAAATAAGGTACGAACGTGCGTCGGTGTTTAAATATATGCTGTTTTTATACGTGTAAACCGAACGATACATCGTTTAATATTAAATCGAACCGCGATACTCTTTTATGCTCCAATGTCCACGCGCACTTTGGTACATCGAGAAAATTATAATAAATAAATAATAACGCCACGGTTAAATAAATTCAAACGAATCACAGAAGAGACGGTACGCCGCGATAATCCGACAATATCGAAGAATAATAATAAAAATCAACGGAAATAAATATGATCCATAGAGATAATACACGCAATTACAATCGTAAATTGATCGATAACTTTCTACACGCATTCACAATCCTGACCATCATCGTTCTCTGACTTACGCTACGATATTCCAGTGATTCTATCGACTTAACTATATTGTATAAACGCAAGTAACGCTTGTCACGCGAAAAATAAATAAAATGATTCACGAACCGAGTATCGTCAGATACAAAATGCGAAAATATTCGAGATCAAAGTCAAGACTCACATAGAGCGTACCGTGATTTTGTCCGCCATCTTGGAGAACATTATCTAGAAGTCCAGAGACGATAGAAATGTTGGTACAAAGTTTGGTGTCCAACCATTGAATTTATTACTCTACGAAGTTCCTTAATATTTTTCCCTTCAAAACATTAACGTTTCCTTCTCCTTTGAACCTCTAGATCAAGTTCTCAAAGTTTAGCGTAAAAACCACGACTAACAGTGACCAGAGATATTTAGTTCTTAAAAACTTCTTTCAGAGGGTTCCAGAATAGACGGAGTTGAAAAGAAACCGAAAAGAACTAAACGAAGAATGTACTGTAGTGTTCTTCAGGTGCTTCGAGCCGCGACCAAAGGAAAAACGATTGGTTGACGCAGGGACCAGCTACGCCGGCGGGGCTGGGGCCAGGTGTCAGGTAAAACCGGGATCGAACGATCGAACAAAGTCACGCTTACTTTATTCGGATCGTTCTATTTTCGAACCGGTCGATCCCCGGACCCTGGCCGTAGGTGCTGGTTGCAACACCAACGGAAAAAATCGGTTTCGGATTACGCGTGGTCACCACTGAAGTAACTACTCTGCATCATGAACAGTTTATCGATGGGGTTGTGAATCGCAGCGTGCAAACTCTGCGACAAAGATGGCGCCTCGTGCGACGTAGGCCCGTGGTGCGAGTGGGAACCACCCTGATGGCTTCCGTCCTGTCCACCGCCGCCCTCGCTCTCTCCTATGTCGAAACCAGCCTCCGTCCCGTCCAACGACAAATCGCTGCTGCAAAAACTCTCCCCCGAATGGCCAGGATACGCGTCTGAAATCCAAGAACAGACTAGTCAGTGAACGAACATTAAGTATCTATTGAACTGTGCCTAACATTACACTGGATGTTTCCCTATGGGTGAATTGCCTGATAAAATGAACATTGCGTTTGACGTTTACTTTCAGAATGAAGAGGAAGAGTTGTTGTAAACAAGAGAAATGTAAAGAAATATTTTTAAGATCCCCTCCATCCTGAATCTAGCTGGATAGAAGTAATTTCTGGTGAGCTCTCAATTTCTATTGTTATATGGGAGGATTAAATTCCTAGCGTAGTTGATTGTCCACCATAGAATTTCATTTCAAGAAAGTTGCAAAGATTCGAATATTTTACTCTGATTCCTTCTCCGACGAGCGAGTTAAAATGGCCGTTTTTCGAGCGTCGTACAGTCTCTGGCGAGACGTGAACCTCGACGAGTTCGCGTGTTAAATGAATGTCTACGGTGAGAAGAGACTTACCGTCGGGCGAGTACGGGTTATTGGGGTTGAGCGGTTGGGTGGCCGAGGGGAAGCTAGAAGATTCCCCGTCGCGCATGTTCATGGCGTTCAAGTAATGACCTGCGAACGAGATCAGACGATTGGCATTGTACCAAGTGACATTTTACCAGAGCCCCATTAACCAGTCTTCGCGAAACGCGTGGATTCGTATTAACTGTACCATTATACCAAAGAAGGGTGAGAAGTAAGCAATAATACGGTCCTTTGTTTTTAGTTCAAAAGTAACTTTGACTCGAAGTACAAGCAATTTAAGTTCACCGGTGATTCTCCGTCGCGCGCCATCTGTATCCCAGTCAGCTGACCGCTCGTCACCGCGCATGCGTGCTGCAGTTCCCGCTCGTTTAGCTTCGAGTCGCGAACGATGCGATACAGTTGCTTGTATCTCGATAACCGGGCGTCCGATCGAAAAACGGTAAAGGACATTTCGATTCGTATCGACGTCCCTCGTTCTCGCGCGTGCACAAAAAACAAGCTTACTGTGGTCGCTGTGAGGGCTCTCCGTTCGTCGTTCCTCCTTCGGCTCCTTGTCGGACCCAGGCTCTGTTTTCGCCTTCCTCTGCAGCTTCTTCATCTTCGCCCGTTGATTTTGGAACCAGACCTGCACCACCCGCACGCTGAGACCGGTGTCCTTCGCCAGGGCTTCGCGCACCTTCCTGCACGGCTTCGGGGAGATCTCGAACGAGGCTTTGAACTGACGCCTCTGGGCGGACGTGAGGATCGTTCGCGGCCGTTTTGGGCCCCTACGGCCGTCACGGGGCCGGTTCTCGTCCAGTAAGTCGTCATCTGTGAAACAATTAACCCGTTAAACTTCCCCGGAACTCGCCAACTTCCGTCGAGCGCGCCAAACGAGATCCCTAGGCCTTTCGCGAGGTTATCTGGCTTAGGAACTTTCTTTTAGGTCTTATTCCTGGACTCCTTGATAGTTAGGTGTGGATCAGGTTCACGAAATATTACAGAAAGCGCCGGAAAAGAGAAGATGAGAAGGTTTCCAAGGTGAGAGTGATTATCAAACGTTAACGCAACCGTCGACCCAAGAAATCTTGTCGAGAGAACGCTAGACAGGAAGTCGTGACTAACAAACTGCTCCTCTATCGTTTTCGCGCTTAACTTCGTTCGAACTTAACCGGCGAACTTTGAAACGAAACGAATTCTTTCATTCGCGAACTGTGATACCGCGTTTTTCGTTCGTACAGATTGGCGTATCCTTTGTCCGAAGTACCGCGAACCCAAAGAATCGTTTCTAATTACGCTTGGTTTAAGTGTAGTTACCTTGAAAAGAGACAGCCTCGATTCGAAATTCCTGTAGGCTTTTACTTTGGATGTCTTTAGATTGTAGTAGTACAACCTGCGAACAATGCAACAAGGTATGTACAATTCGTAATTCTTTCGTCGATTTTTCGCGATTACGTTCGTTCGACAATTCGGATCGATATCAACGAACGCGTCGCGGATCGAGCGAACAGAACGAAAACATCGTGAAACCCACGATTCGATCGTGGGCTACGCAAGTTTTCCACGCAATTTCTCTATCGATAGATCGCCAATCTCGATTATCTAATGATCAATGGTAAAACGAATCGTGATAGCCGAGCAGTTTGCTGTCGTAAGTTCTACCTGGAGGATCGATCGAAGTCCCGGGGTAAATAATTACGAATTTCAGAACCCTAAAAAAGTACCCTAAGTGTAAAAGACATTCGTCGCCAGCCAGGTCGAGAATCGGCCTTCGTGCTCGCTTGGAATTGACATTTTTTCGAAATTTTTAGGACCGCGTCGGAGTGATGATCGTGAGGCACCGACCTTGGGGACTGTTCAGGTACAGTTCGTGCTCGTAGTCCCGTCTGCAGATCGGCTGTCCCTGCCTGAGGAAGTACTGGGTACCGGGAGGCAACGGTTGTCCGCACATGCAACACGCGAAACACTCGACGTGAAAGACCAGCCCCGGCGAGCGTAGAACGAAGTCGGAGCAGCTGATCTTCTCCATGCATCGCGCACACTTCACACCGAAGATCCTCTCGTAGTCGGTGCGACAGTAGAGCTTCAGCTCGCGAACGAAGCACGAGTGGATCAGCGGAGCGGCGCAGGCCGTGCAGGACACGCACTCCTCGTGGTAGTTCCTGCCGGCTACTTGCATCATGTATTTGTCGGCTATGGTGCGACCACAGCCGGCGCAGATCGTCTCCAGGAGGCCGGACTCCGTCTTCACCGAAACCGACGGCTCTGAAATCAGTCGGTGCACCGTTTTCTAGCTTGTACGCCCTCGAATGGCTCTTTTCACCCTCGACAATTTAACCGTAGCGTCAATTTACGTTTATTCTAATCTTAACATGACCAAAATTCTACCAGCAATGGGGTTCCCCCGATCACCGATGACCACCGTGTCAATCAACGTGTGAACCCCTTAACCCCCCTATTTGTCCAACTTACTTTCATAAGAAATTATTCCTTTTAGGTGTGACAACTATAGGAGCAACAAAACTGAATATTATAAAGGCTACTATAAGGAAAATTACTACACTGTCCATGTAAACGCTGAAGAAATGAAGACGACGGGTAAGGTTGCGAATATTAATATTGTTTATTTAGTCCATGTACATGGGATGGTTTTACGGAGACAATGTATACGTTTTAATCACATGTATATGTATTGCATAGGCGTAGGCGTATGTAAATGAATTATTACCCTACTTCGGAGGATTTGATAAATATCTTTCATATTTTTTTAGCCCGCGAAAGCGTTGAGGTGTTCGATCGCAAAACGTCCCGCGGGGAAGGAAATAAATGCGCGCGGAGTTATTCTGAACGATATGGCAGTCAGGCTGAGAAATGTGATAACGTTCCGGAGCAAAGCAATATTGCGAGGCCCATGAAATTTATATTCCGTCGCTTATCGATTGTCGATAGTGATAAAGCGATGTTACGATTGAGCGCAGTGCGATAAGTTTCTATTTGCACGGGGCACAGCGACAGGAATCTACCGTTTAATCGTTTCCAAACATGGAGCCTGCTCCTCCTGTTTTTTATCTTAATTACGGTGTACCGACAAAGTTGAAACACGCGTTGTTCCGTTCCGTGGGGTGTCGAATCAACAATTCTCCCCTCGTTGCGATCGGAAATGAAACTTGTTCTTCGTTTCTGGGTCTTACGATAAAGAGGTCTGACTCTGATAGATTCAGGGGGTTAGAACATAGTCGATCTTCATGTTTTCTGCCAGTTCTCGCTGAACATAGCGCGAGTCTGGCATTGTAGCATCGATGTTTGAAAAATAACCGATGAAAATTGACGCGTACCTGCGTTATTGTTGTCGTTCGCCGGTCGGAACCTGATTTGCCTCGCGGAGGAGCCCATCGTCGGTGGTTCCGTGTCGCCCTGGCGGCCCAGAGTACCCGGTAACGGAGGGTAGAATTCCAACATGGTTCCCAATATCCACGTCGAACGAAACCCCCACCACCACTTTTCCGTCACACTCTTAAGAAATCCCCGAAGAACGAAAACTCGAACGACGATATCCTCGTGTCACTTATAATCAACGAACCCCTAAATCCACCGTGTCCCGTCGATCGTCCCCGAGGAATCGGTATCATCCACCGTCCACGAGAAACCACCAGTGTCCGCGGCACGATAACTCTCGATGATATTTTACATTAGCACCCTGGGGCGGTCACGTATCGCGGGGGGAGGCAGTCGACGAACTAACCCTCTCCGGTTCTTCGATGCCGCGACAGGTTTCAAGAGAAGGTCCTACGGGCGTCTCGAGGCGTCCCGACGGACGTCCAACTCTGACGGGCCCTAAACAACCGACCGTTTCTCATCCTGACCCGTGCACCGTTCGCCGTTCCTTCCTTGCGGGGGTGTTGTCGAGCAGGCGGTGTAGGTTTTCTCTCCGACAGCCGATGGTAGTTACACGGTGGGACGCGTATCGTGCTCTGCTGCGACGATGACAGCTCGTACGCGTGTCAGCGGCCCGGACTCCGAAGCTTTTTTGACGCCAGCCACCGCATCGACAGCGAACATCAACCCCCCACCTATCGCTGGATGGTCGACGCCGTCCACACCTCCGTGAGCGAGGCGTCGCGAGATAGACGACCGATCGACGAGGGTGAACGGAGGCGGTCGCTTCACCCCCTTGGCGAGGGTGATCGGGACGCGGCGAGGGATTGGCGGCGTCGGGATACGCCCTTGGAAACAACGGGCCTGGCGGGGGACGCGAAAGCGTCGCGGTGCTCAACCGGTCGCGCTCCACGAGCGTCGGGGAGATCAATATCTCGCGACCATCGCCAGTGACGTACTTTGGGCTTCGGGATTCCTTGGGATTTTAGACGTTCGCCAATTTTGGGTCTGGACCATCGGGGGGCTAGAATTTTTTCGACTGTTTTTTGGACGCTCGGGGGACTCTTGGGGGTCGAGAATAGGCAGGTGTAGACGGCGGAGACGGATTTTCAATGTTTGACTTGGGGTTTGTTGGAATGCTGGAAGGATAATTAATTAACCCCCTAACGCTCATATTTTTCGGGTTAACCAACAATGATCAGTTTTCTTTATTGGATTTGTTTCTAAAAATACGGTTTTTGTTAATTAAATAACGTATAATTTGAAGGAAAACAAATATTATCATCCCTTAAACCTTAAATATTGTTTTTCAAAGCGGTCAGACTCTGGCATGAACGTTAAGGGGTTAATAATTAGTATGTGAGGTTGATACTATTTTACTAGTATGTGAAATTCCACCTGGAGTTTTGTAAATGATAGTTAGCTTAGAACAAATGTCAGAGTCAGTTTAAAGGGTGATAGTCTTAGTCCTGTATTCACTTACATATGTAAATAGAAAATCACTGTCTAAACCTAGGATGATCGCGAGTATGTTCGACAACCCTGCACACTTTGTCAGATCTTATCAGGTGTGAATTAAGTGGATTTGTACGATAGCGCCCAGGGGACGTCTTTTTGTGTTTAACGAAAGGGGTTCCATTTTGCTGGTCACAAAAGAGAAGCTAATAACACCTGGATCTGTACGATTCGTTCCTTTGGGGTGGAATTTTGGGAAGGGTTGTTGACCGAGCATCGTGAATATCGAGTATGATTTGTAGACACTCTTCAAGGGTAAATTGGGGTTGATTAATATATTAAGAAAATTGAAAAATCAGGCCAGCGATTGTATTTGGCTCGGACAGGACGTAGCCCCGATTATTCGCGATTTCACTTTCGCCCCGATTTAATCTGCAAAGCCCGACGCGGTTGCTCGTACGAGGCCAATCAAGGCTGCGAATAGCCGGAAGACAGACGGACTTCGAAAAATTGACATATTGAGTGCATCGATGTTTGCTGGGTCCATTGTCCGTGCAGAAATCATATTTGGCAAACAAAAAGCTGAGGGTTTCTTTGTCTCCGCGCTTCGATCGAGACGCGTAAACCCCCGTGCAAAGTACTTTGAAGTCGATATGAAATCTGGCGCCGAATAGAAAAGTTTGTTTTACTATATCCGCGACGAGTATTTGCCAAATAACTCAATACGCTCGCCAATATGATTTTTCAAACTCCTTGCGATCTATTATACTTCACTCCGCTATAAATAGCTGGATACGTATCGTATAAATAATCGTCGCCATTTTATTGGCAAACATATAGAATAAGTCGATATAAAGTTAACAATTGATAGGGGTTCGAAAATTTTTAGATGTTGCGGAAGGATTCGATCCAAAAGAAGGATGCTGGGACGATTTCATCCCCCATTGCGCTCGCCAATATGATTTTTCAAACTCCTTGCGATCTATTATACTTTGCTCGCTATAAATAGCTGCATACGTATCGTATAAATAATCGTCGCCATTTTGTTCGCAAACTCGTAAAGTAAGTCGATGTAAAGTTAAAAATTGATAGAGTTTGAAAATTTTTAGATGTTGCGGAAGGATTCGATCCAAAAGAAGGATGCTGGGACGATCTCATCCCCCCCTGAGAAACAGAGGACTCCTTCGAGAGGGAATATCCCATTCAAAGGCGGTGACGGGAAAAGGGAAAAGTGTGTTCAGAAACGGGGACACCTCGCGAGAAAGTGGAACTCGTCTCGAAGCAATATCGTTGGGTGCGGAGGTTGCGAGGGGGGTGGGGGTGGTATCCGTGTATTTTGTCGCGAAAGTCGAGGCGCGTCGCGAGTATTTGGCCGTTTGTCGGCCGGCGTAAATACGCGACAATGCCGTCCTTTGTGAGGCTCGTCTATCAGCGATGTTTGCCAAATAAAAGCCTATATGGGGGGGCTCTTTGTCTCTGTCCGCCTCGCGGCGCGCGGACGATCCGTGCCCCCCCCCCTCCCAGACCACCCTCCACCCCCAATGATACGCCTAGTTGCCTATGAAACTCTGGTATGCCCCTTCGGTGCTCGTACAAAGGGGCATCAAGTTGGCGGTAATGGTGATGCAAAGTATTTCAGGGTGGAACACGTGCGGACGCCGAGGGGTGCCCGATGCCCTCGGACGCGGTAAATCGGGGCCGACAGCGAGCATACGTTCCTAGGGGTGGGGGAGGACTGTTTGCGGGCTGAATTTGCTGGAAACTATTAGCCGTCTTCGGGAAATCGGTGGAACTGGATGGATTGCCTTTTCCATCTTTCTTTCCTGGGCTGCAAACAACCGAGGGGCCCAGAAAACAATTTATGCGAATCTAATTCTTTGAAGGGGGGTGGGAGAAGAGAAACCTGACCTTGGATTACTCGCAAAACTCAAATTCTCTGAATTGCTTCTTCGATAAATCCAAAAAACAACTGACTGTGCCAAGATTGTTAGCAGAGTTGTTAGATCGGAGAGTGTAATTGAAACTTGTATCACCCAACGAGATTAGACCCACTGTGTTAATTAGATACGCCCGTCGGAAGATTTTAGGCCGCGTTAGGTATCGAGGGTTGACGAATAATAAATTTGCCTATTTATAGGATAGGAAGAAGATCCGCAGCGCGTATTAGGATGCAGAGACACCCCCTCTGTGCGTGACCAAAGGGTGTTTAGAGGCCCGCGAGCAGGGGGACGCATCTTTCTCCCTTCCTAGTCGCGAAACAACGCCTGGAACCGTATCGGCATAATTACACGGACGGTGTTAGTGTCACACATCCCGAACAATGCAACGAACGGGACCGTCGGGATGGGGTAGATGCACCTGCAAGGAACCATATTTCACCCGGCGTTCGGGCGACTTTTGTGCCTTTATGCGCCGTGAAATCGCGAGGGTCACCGGGGTTTCCCTAATTTCTATTATGCACCGGATAAGACCGTGTTGGATATCGACCACTCGAATTGCAGGGGATGCTCGATTTTTTTCATCGTGCCCCTTCCTCCCCCTCGCTGGAGACACTGCTCGATTTTTTTGAAAAATAAAGGCGGTGGAAAAATTGACGTTTTCCAGGTAATGGAAAGCACCCTTAAAATTTATTTTAAATAATTAAGTATGTCGTAATGTAAGCGTTAAGAGTTAATTGTTGTCCGTTTATCGACATTTTAAAAAATAAGTCTGATTCTCCGTTATTAAATATTGCTTTCCCCCATTTATTTGGCAACTTGTCTCCGTGGTCCACCTCCCCCCGGGAGAACTTTTTACAAGTTTTCCGCACGTGGTTCTCCGCGCACCCTTTGGTCACGCACAAAGGGGTGTCTCTGCATCATAATACGCGCCTTCTTGAATTCAGTTGCGGCGCAGAGATTCACGGAAGGGTGGTCCGCATTTAAAATTACCGTCATTGATTATAAATTATTCGAGCTGCACAACTCGATTAGGGGTACCTTGCAGCAGAGGGTTTCGCGTTTTTTCATAGCAAAACGGTGTTGTTATCGCTATCGAGAGGCTCGGAATAAAATTGTTTATAAAGAGTCTAGTTTGAAGGTTTCCAAGGGGTCGTCATTATCAATCGGATGGTCCAATTGTCGAAGGCGAGCTATATCAATGGCGCGTGTCCTCGGGTCTTGTTTCGCCCTTCTCACGGTCTTAACGGCATTCCTGACGTCGGCCCTAGATAAAATGTAATAACGCGTCCTCTTCAGCCTGGCGCGCACGAATCCATCTTTCGTTAACGAGGGTGGAGGCTCACGATTGCGTTCCAGGAATGCGTGATGACTACTTTGTCAGGAATGCGCCCGTGGCGCCCATACGCGAAACGAGAGCGTCGGGACGCCCCGTTGGGACCTCCCAGCCTCGCTATCAACCGTCTTCCAGTCAAGGATTCTAATCTCACACTTCCCAAAAATCAATTTTTTCCCCCCTCAGTGTTCTACAATCTTAAATCTACTCTCTTGAAACGTTTATACTTCCCCCAAAGGTGTCTTGCATTTGGATGTAAATTACACTATTCTTAATATCCTATTAATGAAGAATACACTAAGAATACAATCATAGAGTATCAAATTCATATTGCTTCGATTCGAGTGAATACTTAG